TCTGGCGAGTCGAGCGACAGTGTGGGGCACCTGGAGCAGCGTCGTCGTCGTCGTCGTCGTCGTCTCGCTTCGCCGGGGAGTGTTCGCAGGCGCCGCCGCGCTCGCCTCCATCAAAGGATGGACTTCCCTGGGGGAGGGAAAACAGTCGCAGCGAGCAAAATTTGCTTCATTTTGGCGCTATGTCGATATGATTTTGACCGGTCCTCTGTTCCTCTTCGATGGAGGCAGGCTGTCGTCTGCTCCGCCCTCTGGCGCGGGTGCCCTCCAGGGCCCGGCCCTGGCGGGGCGAGGATTCCAGTTCGGGGATAAAAATGACACTGATTGGTATCGCTTGCAGGCGGCCCTGGAATTTGTCGGGACCACGCTACTGTGCGCTCCCGATTCCCGATTCCCCGATTCCAATTTCATTTCATCCGTGTAGGCTACACTGTAGGGCGACGGCCCTGCCGGCCGGCCGGGGCGGCCCGGGATGCAGATGCAGCCCTTTGCCCGGGACTCCGGGAGGAAGCGGTCGATAACGCCGGTGTCCCCCGTTAATCAGCGGCTGTCCGGGCACCTCGCCGATCAACCTGAAAAATCACCTCGAGCGGCGTCTTCTTGTGCTCCCTTCGGATTTCGACTTTGGCTCGAAATCCGAGCCGCAGCCTGGCTCGCGGACCGAAACGACACCTTTTCGACGTTGCACCCACAGCCTAGAGCCTAGAGTTGCCACCCCTCGCGACTGCCGTCGCCGCCGCCACGCGGGGCCGAGCCGGCCGCGGAGTGGCAACTCCACATCGCGTCGTGTACGACTGTACGTCCCAGCCAATTAGGGCTACACGTCGAACACCGTCGTAAATTTGAATGGGCACCGAGCGGACCCGAACCCACTTGGCCAGGGCCGGGCCAGGGCCGGGCCAGCGAAGCGAGGCGAGGTGATCGGGCCCCGAAACGGTTAGGCCCCTCGGCAGGACCCGCTCCGCTCCCGGAACCCCCTCAACGCCAACGCAGCGCGCCGCGCACCGCCACAGTCCTTATCAAGCATCGCGGGACTGGCGGGGCTGGCGGGCGGGGCCTGGGGGAGGAAATTACACTTCGCCGGCCCATTGTTGCCGATCGTATGGGGTATATATTGTTATTCCAATTCCATTTTCGGCGAGAACAAGAAGGACGCCGTCGACTTGACGCCGCGGCCGGCCGGCCCGGCCGACGACCTCCGGGACGTAGCGCACTCTGGACGCTGGGCGGCGCGTCGCCGCGTCGCGCGAGTCCGAACGGCGTCCCCTCGGTGAAGACAAATCAGGACCGGGTCGACGACTGGCGGCCCAGGCGGCCTCGGCGGCGTGGCTCCCTTACGGCAGCAGTAAATAGGGGAAATTTCTCGGGCCGGGCCGTGTTTTAAAACCGACACCTGTATCGGGGGCTCGGATCTCGGGTGATTTCGTCCGGTGGGTCCTTCGGAGTCAAGTCTTATTGTCCCTTTATAATGAGCCAATCGGCTGCAGAAGCGTTACGCGGCCCTCGGCGTATCGTGCCTCTCATCGCGGCCGCGGCCTCCGGACGGCCTCCGGACGGCCACCACGCCGACGTGTTTATCACGAGCGCGCTGCTCGAGGCCGGGACCCCCGAGACCCTGCGGCCGGCGCAGCGCCGCCCCCGCGCCGCCGCCCGGTCTGGCCCGGTTTCGGGTTTCGGGCGCCGGCAGGCAGGCAACCCCTCGTGCGCCGTACCCACCGCGTGCGGAGGGCGGCCTACGCGCCGGCGCCGTCCACGCCACGGAGGCCGAGGCCGAGGCCCCGCCCCGCGCACGTCTCGCGGATGTCTGTCGCGGCGACTTGGTTTGATGCTGCTGCTGCCCCGAGCCGGTCCGGTCGCCTTGACTTGCCGCTGCTCCGCTGCTCCGCCGCGCCGCTGCCCAAGTTGGAGGCCCCTAATGTGCGCTCGCTTCCAAAAGCGTCGTCCGCTCGGCAATGCCAGGCGAATGCCAGCGAATGCCGGGACAGGCGCCGCCTCCAAATGTGCCACTTGCCGGGCCGGCAGGGCCGGGCCCCACTCGGCCCCACTCGGCCCCACGGCAGCATCAATTAAGAAGGCTTGCCGGCCGCGCCTCGCCTTGCCGCGGTTTGCTCTGAATAGGAACTGCTCGCAATGGCGGCCGTCGCCGCGTCGCCGCACTGGTAGCCGCCATCGGCGTCCTCGCCACGGCCTGCGGCCTGGCCTCCCCCTTGCCGCCAAATTTCGACGATGCAGCGCTTCCCCCGTGTTCCCATGACACGGCCGCGGCCTCCCTCACCGCCTTGCTGCCGCGCTTAGCGCTTAATCCCTCCTTTGGCCGCTTCCCGCTTATTCCGATCCGGAATCCCTCCGCCGCTTCGCCGCTTCGCCTCGGCCAGCGTGGTGCCGCAGCGCATTCTGTTTTGATCCCCGGTTAAAGCTAGAGGACTAATTGGGCGATAAATCTTGCCGCTACCGCTGGCCATGCAGGCCGCGGCGGGGCGGGCGGGGCGGGCGGGGTGTGCAGCGGCCGCCGCACGGGGCCCCTTCCCTTCCCTTCTCCAGCCCCTCCAGGGCCCCCTCCAGGGCCCCCGCGAGGCCCCACCGCCTGGCCGGTACACTGGCAGCTCGCTGCTACCGTATGGCTTGGGAGTGGAGATGGTGTTGTAGACCGTGATACCGTCAGTGAGTTGTTGGAGGAGCGAGTCGAAGCTCCGGCAAGCATGCCGGGTGTGCGAGCGAGCGAGAGAGAGTGAGTTCATGAAGCAAAGTGGAAGGAAGCGAGGAGGAGAGGAGGAAGAAGAGGAAAACAAATTTGAAAATGAATTCGGAGAAGCAGGCAGAGGGTCCTCAGAGGGAGAGAGAAAAGACTCTAACAGCGATCTGACTTCGACAAATCACAAATTTTCAAGACTCTATCTATCTGGCAAAATAGGGAGTACAAAAAAACAATAATTTAAATTGAACGTCGCTGTTGAGTGCTCCACCTTCGTATGATGAAGTCTCGTTGGCAGCAGTGAAGTGGATCACCTCTCATATTTCCTAACCAACGCAGAAAGAACTGTGGCTGCATGTGCCCTTCGGCCAACTTGGCCTATTCGCATATTTCCCCCTCCTCTCCCCTCCGCCACCTCAGCCCCGCCAGGCCGCCACCGGCGCGGTGTGCACTTTTCACTTAAAATGTATTATGATAAGCAGCACGCCCGGGATTTTCGCCCTAAGTTGACGTGGCGCGAGGCGGGCGAGGCGGGGCCCGTGGGGCGCGAGGCGGTAGGCGTGGAGTGCGGTGAATTTAATTTGCGCCAGGAGCCTTGCGCCTCACACTTTTGCTTTTTGAAGACGGCATGAGCCGGGAGGGGAAAGGGGGGGGGGGCAACGTCGCGGAGACGGAGAGAAGGGAGAGGGGGGCAGCGCACCGGCGCACCGGCCAGAAGCTTATGTCAGCCCCTATTTCCATGGGAGGCTTAGCGCGGTGCATAATTACCGGTCTAATTTATGGCGCTTTTAAAATTGCTGGCGTGTTGATGGAACATAATGAAATTAGCCGCGAACGCCGCGGCGGACGGCGGCGCGCGGCACACTGGCACCGCGACGAGGGGGGGGGGGGGGGGGGGGGGAGGGGGAGGGGGGCACACTGATAGTGATGTGTCACTGCAGCGCTCGCCGGGTTCGCTCGCCAGGGAAAGTCAATTAGTGCGCTCGTGATCGGAACGCTCTCCCGTCTCTCTCGGACGCACGGAGAGCACGGCGGCGTCGAGGAGGACGGCCATCACCAGGACTCCGTTCTCTGGAATCGCCGGAACTGTTATTGGCACTCGGTGTGGGTTTTCTTGTTTGCTGCTGTCCGTTGCGCGTCGCTCGCGCGTGTCGCAATGCGGGGAAAAGGTATAAGCGGCCACGAAATGAGAATTCGGTTTCATGGGAATCACTGGTTTCTTAAACTTTTAATACCTCGTCAACTCATCAGCAGTCTTGGTACAGTAAAATTGATGATTATATCTGTCTATTATTTAATACACATTTACATCCGCTCATAGTTGTATCTGATCGAACTTTTACACGGAATAATATATTTAATATAAATAATCATAAGTACAACATTGCTATGTAAACAGAAACAATAATTATACTTTACAATCACAGAATTGTTTTTTGTACAGTAGCAATAGAATTTCGTATAACTGTTCAGTTATAATATATATATTTATAACTTCGTATCTCTTTATTTACATGGTTATGTTCAGTACTTTAGGTAAAGGAGATAATTTGGATTTTTCTGTCTACTGATAATGTCTGAATCTTTTTTCTTCAAAAGATAACACAAACAAAGACATTATAAGTTCCAGAAAAATGAAGGAAAGGTATTGGAAGATATCACTCAGGTGGAAATAGTATTATGTATTACATTCAACGTGAAATAAACCTAATGTTGGAACTTTGGCAGTTTTAAATACTATTAAGTACCTGATTCGCGAAGCTGACATTTCATCGGCTCCGATCGGAAGCTCAATTTTGAATTTCCCGCTCCATCATGATGCCACAGGCAGTTCGCAACAAACGCGTGCCTTGGCCTTGAGCTGTAGGCTTGAGCGCTTTTCCTTAAAAGCAACTACGAAAATCTTTAACTCCATCTCGCGAGAAAAACATCGCTTATTGGTTTGGTCATGACTCCAGTGTAAAACTGCGCGGAAAAACGAAAGCCGAAACCAGAATCAACGCCACACACGGCGCCAACGTACTACACAAAAACCTCGACTAGCAACGTAACAAAACAACATATGCACACGCAAAAAAATAACAATAAAGAAAAAATTAAAAAGGAAAACGAACGCTGATTCGAGCAGGGCTCAGTTCATGACAATTATCACATGTGTGGGGGTGCCTCGGCCGATAGGAGGTGCCGAAGTGGAGGGGGTGGGGATCACAGCCGGGGCGGCGCGCCCGGGGCGGGGCGGGCGTCCAAGGGGGGCGTCGTCGCCGACGTCAAGCTCGACGTCAAGCTCGGCGAGGGCGTCCCCGACCGGGCGCTAGTGTCGCTGCAGGCTCATGATGTGAGCGGGCTGCTGGCCGCCGGCCGCAGACACGGGCAGCATGCCGGGGTGCGGGTGGCCGGCGTGGGGCGGCGGGGGCGCCTGCCCGGGGCCGCTGGGGGGCGCACCGGGCAGCCCCATGGCGGCCAGGAAGGGCGGCGGGTTGGGGTGCCACAGCGCGGCGCCGGGCGGGAACAGCGGGAAGGGGCGCCCGGAGAATCGGAACTTCTCCAGCTCGGCCTCCTGGAGGCGCTTGGACTTGGCGCGCCGGTTCTGGAACCAGATCTTCACCTGCGGGGCAAACAAGGTCGGCGTTAGCGCGTTGACGACGGGCACCGCGAGTACGCGCCGCTCCTCTTTGGGCACCGGACCTACCTGCGTCTCGGTGAGCTGCAGCGACGACGAGAACTCGGCGCGCTCCGCGATGGACAGGTACTGCTTCTCCCGGAACTTCTTCTCCAGCGACAGCAGCTGCTGCGTGGTGAAGGGCGTGCGCGGCTTGCGGTTGGGCTTGTGCTTGCGCAGGTTGCAGCGCAGCGGCAGGGGGTGCGGGGGGCCGTGGGGGGAGCCGCCGTGCGGGCCCGCGGGGTGACCGGCCAACCGGGCGCCATCCACTGCAACAGCAAAACAGCAACATGAGAACGAGCTCTACAAGCACGGCCTAGAGTACACAGCTGCCGGAGTCATATCGGCCCCGTTACTCGCCGCGTGTTTTGTTCCGATGTGAGAAGCGAGCAGCGCGGCCTCATTACGGCGCGGCACGGCACGGCACGGCCAGGCGCGCCCGTGTATCGCTACAGTACGCTGCGAATATGGAGCCCGCCGGCCGGCCGTAGGCAGCCGACCGGCCACAGGCAGCAAGCCCGAGCAGGCAGCCGGCTGTGCTGACGCGCCGTATGTACATTAGGCCCCTCTAACGACGCCGGAACACGGCCGTACAGCCCTGATGGCTCCATCGGCCGCCGTGGGCCGCCATCGGCGGTCGTAAACGCACCGGCCGGCCTCAGGTGGCCTCAGGCCGCACCGGGCCGACAGCCGCACCGGCACGTCGGCCAAAGGAACCCGAAGGGTTATTAATTAGATCGACTGCCGCCCGGTGTGGGCGAGCCGCGCCGCGTCAATTCAGCGTGGCCGAGACGGCAGAGGCGCCGCCTGCGGCCAGCAAGGACGCGGGTTCGAAAACTCACACCTCAACTTTTTTTTCCGCCAGCCAATTTCGGCAGACAACATGGCGCGGCGGGGAGGAGGATGCGCGGTGGGCGGCGCGGCGGCGCGGCCATCTCCATGGCGGCGTCTGAGTGCGTCGCGTCCTCGGCTTCCCCGTCGCGCCGCCGCGGGTCGCGGAGGGCGCCACCGTCGCGACCCCCACTCCGCGCTCGGCGCGCTCACTCCGCGAGTGGGGCGGGGCGGGGCATCGGCATGGCCTGGCCTGGGCCTGGCCGCGCGCGTTGCAGCGTTTTATTGGACAGGCCCGTCCGTGTGTGTGCATGTGTGGTCATGTGTGTGTGAGGACGCGCCTGTCTGTCTGGCCGCTCACCTGGCCCCCCTCCCCACGGTCGCTGCACGCCGCTGCCGGACGGCCCCCCATTCCCTTCAATTAGGCACACCGTCGCTCTGTCTCTCTCACACCAGTGCGGACCTCACCCCCAGGAGCGAGCGAGAGACAGACCGCGTCCACGCTTGACGGATAGGGAAGTTCGAAAAAAGCATCGAAAAGAATGCGGCAAGCGGGCTTGCGGGGACGGCGGGTCGCGACAGTGAGGTCCGCGACGCATCGGCTGTACACTGTGTTTGCATGCCACCGGCACCGCGGCACCGCCTGCCCGGCCAGGCTAAACAGAGACGTGCTGCGCCCCGCCCCGCCCCGCCCCGCCCCGCTTGTCCGACCAGCAATTAAAGGGGCGCCTCATCATTAACGTCACCGCGGTCGGCGCGGTCCACATCGATCAGCGGAAATCTAACAAGCAGCTGTCAATCCCCCACGGCGGCCCGCCAGCGCGGCGCAGCGCGGCCGACCAGACGGCAGTGGATGGATGGATGCGGAGGAGGAAGACGTACTGTAGTGCACGGAGCAGGCCTTGTAGGCGCATGCTGGTGGCCCGCACGTCGGTCTGTCTCTCTCGCGTCCGTGCGCGCCGCCCCATGAGTGCGAGAGAGACTAACACTCCGCCCCACTGGATCCTCCCCCACACCGCCATGCCGACGGTCGATCCGCAGCGCCCTTCGATCAACTTCCAATTCATCATCTGGAGGGCGCGGCGCAGCGCGGCAACGTGGCGGAGTTCATTTTGTAGCGTGGACTGCCGGCCGGGCATTTAGGTCATTTAGCCGGCGAGGCCTTTCATTCGACATTCGTCCCGAATTTTCCGCGACGAAACGGCAACACAACAAACGCGCTGCGATGAGTCAACCGGGGCAGCGAAGTGCGCGCGGAGGTCCGCGGAGCGACGCGAATCGACTGTGCTTTAATTAGCCCTCGCTGCGACAAATGACACTTCGGGGTCGTTGTGCGCTTCGCTCCTTCGATCCCGGCGCGGTGTTTATACTGTAGCGACCTGGAGGTCCGGTCGCATTGTCGCCGTGCTGCGCCGTGCCGTGTGGAGCATTGTGCCCCGCAGGCATTGTCGCAGGAGCCAAGCCAGCCAGGTCGTCGCACTGTCTCTCTCGCACCTTCAAGGTACCGATGGTACGCCCCACGAGTGCGAGAGAGACGGAGAGGCCTTACCTGGCCGCTCCTTCCCGCGCGCTTCCCGCTCCAATGCCAGGAATTTTAATTCGGGGTGGCTCGGCCATTCCTTGGACCGGCCGGGGGACTCGCCGGGTGATTTATTGGGTATCAATATTTTGAAGCGGTTATAATCGGACACTTGTGCGTCGCGGTGCTGCTGCCGTGACAATGGCAGCGGGCTAATTGGGCTGTATATTTCCGTCGAGTGCCCTCGTTAGATTTCCACGGCAAACAAGACTTTTGTGACTCCGCGGCACAAAAGCGTAAGCCCGCGATGATTCACGCCACGACGGACCGAAGCGGAAAGCAAACAGTGAGGCTAGCGGAGCGATGCAAAGCCGATTCGCGAATCGCGAGCTTTGTCTCTCAATTATTTTGGTCGCGGAAGCGTGGCGAACCGCCTCCCGTCAGACGGCGTCAGAGGCGCGGACACAACATTGCGGGACTCTTCGATTTGCACGGTAAGTGCACTCACCTCCGGCGGCAGAGTTGGGCGGGTAGTTGGGCATCCAGGCGAAGTGTGTGGCGAGCGAGTTGGGCAGCCCGGACCAGCCGGGGGCGCCGCGCCTCGCCATCATCATGGACACCGTGGTGGGGTGCAGGGGCTGCGGGAAGAGCGGCGGCACCGCGCCCGACGGCGGCGGCGTGCCCACCTCGCTGCCGTCCGCCTCGGCCTCGGCGCCGGCGTCGCTGCTGGAGTCCATCGAGTTGTCCGAGTGGTGGTCTGCCCGGTCGGCCCGGTCGGCCCGTCTTCTCCGCAGCTTGTCGGCCGCGTCCAGGGCCTCGCCGGCGTCGCTCAGTCTCCGGTGCGCCGCGTCGTCGCGGTCCCCGCCACCCACGTCGATGTCCACGTCCTCCTCCAGGTCGCTGTCCATGTCTTCGTGCCGCCGGCCGTCCTCGTGCGACGACTGGTAGTCCCTGTCGCTGTCCTCGCTGTCCTGCTTGAGCTTGAGGCGGTAGTGCAGGGCGTCGCCGGGGTGCCCCGGAGTGGTGCACAGCGACGTGGGGGACTGCGGGGGCGTGTGCAGGTGGCCGGGGTACGGCGGCGACGACGCCGTGGGCGAGGCCCTGAGGTGGCCGTTCACCATGGCGGGGGTTCGCACCGTCAGCTGCATGGGCGAGGACTGCAGCCGCAGGTTGAGCGCCGACTCGTTGTGGAAGACCACGGCGTCGCACCGCGGCGTCGCCGGCGACTCGGCGGCCGTCCTGGAGCGCGGCCGCGAGGTCGGCGTCGACGAGAGGAGCGAGTCCACGCTGAAGGAGAGCTTGCTGCTCTGCTTCATTTTGGTGGGCGGCGGCGACGACGGCGTCGCGGCGGCCGTGATGGGGGCGGGGGCGGCGACGCCCACGCCGACGGACAGCAGGGCGCGCATCGTGTCGGCGGCGGACTGGACGGCCTGGACGGCCTGGACGGACGGCGAAACACACTCGGCTGAGGAGATAGCCACACTCATGTCAAGCGCACGAGGTGCTGACACGCATCGCACATTCAACTCGGGGGCACGCACGCACTGGGCACTACACTGCTCTCGCACTGCTCTCGCACTTCGTCCTCCTCGTCACACACACACAAACACAACGCGTGCGAAGGCGACCTCAGCCGTCGAGGGAACTCCTGAGACTGACGGCGACGACGCAGCCCGCGAGCCAGCCGGCGGAGCCCGGCCCCGCACCCCCACCCCAGTGCCACCCCCACCACCGCAGCCGCAGCGCTGCTGCGCGGCCGCGGCCTCCCCTCCTCCCACGCTCGGCCCCCACCACCGCCAGGCCGGCCCAGGCCCCGCCCATCCCGCGCCGAGGCCCCGCCCCGCCACCCCGCGCGGCGGCCAGGACATCAGCAGCCGTCGACGCGAGCGCGACCGGGACCCGGAGGAGACGCGCGACCCGCGGACAGAAATCCAACACCAATAGCCTCCCCTTGCTTGATCCTGCGATCCGCCGCGCCGCAGACGGGGCAAGGGGAGGTGGGGTGGGGCGGGGCTGCGGGTCGCCGGCAGAGAGCAGGCAGTACCTTTATACATTGCTCGTGATATGAAATAAAACCTATTATCCTTTTGTGTTTTTGTTGTGGAGCTTCAGAGCGCGGAGGCGAGCCGAGCCGAATCGAGAGCCGAGGCAGTCGATGCAACGCGCGCGGCCCGAGCCGAGCCGAGCCAGGCCTGCCAGGCCGTCGTTGTCCTCCCTCTCGCTTCGAATCACACTCACTCACTCAGCGCGCCAGTCACTTCATCCCGCTAAAAGATTTATTCCCAAATGAATGTTGTAGGTATCATAATAGTAGTTGACTCGAGCACGCTCTGGCTCGCTGCCCCACGCTGCACCGACAGATGTCCTTTCTGCTGCGCGCTGCGCGTTTTGAAGCCCCGAGCGAGGCTAGCCTGGTAGTAGTTGACTCGAGCACGCTCTGGCTCGCTGCCCCACGCTGCACCGACAGATGTCCTTTCTGCTGCGCGCTGCGCGTTTTGAAGCCCCGAGCGAGGCTAGCCTGGCCGGCCTGGCTAGGCCGCGATTTATGGTGGCGTGGAGTGCCGCTTTTGTGGTCTGGTGCCGTGGATCTGTTCTGCCCGCCGTGCCCCGCGATGTTGTGCAGTATCAGCTCGTGCTCCTCCAGGGCCTCCAGGGCCTCCATGGCCGCCAAGACCGCCAGACCGCCAGGTACTTCGACTTGGTCTACATATTGACGCGTGAAAACGTGGAGCAGCGCGGCCGCAAATCATGGCGATGTCCATCGAGACGCAGCACGGGCAGGGATGAATGGGAAAGAGGCGCATGCACGAGAGAGAGAGAGAGAGAGAGAGAGAGAGAGAGAGAGAGAGAGAGAGAGAGAGAGAGAGAAAGAGAGAGACAACACAAATCGCAGCGAGTTGCCTACCTCGCAGGCGTCTTGAGTGCACGAAGGCTTGTTTCAAAATGGACACTCCAAAATTTGATATTTTTCCGCACCGCTCTGTTTTTTTGCGGCGCCTTGGCCGTGAGGGTGTTGAGGGTGGGGTGGGGTGGGGTGGGGTAGGTCGAGGGTCGGGCCGCCGTCCGGAGGATGACACGAGGATAAGGCTGACGTCGCAGCGCCACTCCGGGACTCCAGCCGCTCCAGCCGCCGCGCCGACAATGGCCAGCCGATCGACTAATCCGAGCGCCACGCGGCAAAATGTCCAAAAAATTGTCCAAAAATCGTCAAAAGATCCAAACGAAACACGACAACAGGATTTGTTTCGTTGATGAAATAATTTAGGTCGGCCGACGCGCGGGGCCTTGTAGTCGGTCGTGTGGCCGCGGCGAGCGGAGGGGGGGGGGGGGGTGCGGGGCATCCGACATCGCTATGCCAGAATCCGCTTCAGTCATTTCTCTTCATAACGGCGTGGCGCGCGCGGTGTCGCGGCCAAAGTAATAACATTTTATCTCCCCCCCCCCTCCTCACCTCGCGGCACCGCCATCCACCGGCATCGCGGTGTGATGAGCGCGGCGTCGCGACGCTGAAATTAGTAGTCAAGTGGACCAAGCGGCACTATAGCGAGCGGCGCGGCGCGGCACGGCACGGCGTGGCGGAGCAGCGCGGAGTAGTGTGCATAACGACGAAGAGATTCGATCTGCCGCGCCGTACTCCGTACGCACAATATGCCTGGCCGGCGCGGGAAGGGAAGGGGAGGGGGGGGGGGGGGAGGGTCCTCCTGGTCCTGAGGTCCTTCCTTATTACGAGACAAATTTATTTTGCAGCCAATCTAGATGACGCCGCGGCGCGGTGCGGGCGAAGCGGGTGAGGCGAGGGAGTCGCGGGACGGGGGAAGAGAGAGAGGGAGAGAGAGAGAAAGAGAGAGAGAGCAGGAAGAAGGGCTCGCTTGTGTTTTAAAAGCGGCGGAAATTGCGAATGCGTCGAGAAATGAGCTAGGGAAAGGGCGCCGTGCCGAACGTGCGCTGGCTGTGTGTGTGTGTGAAAAGGGGGGGGGGGAGACACTACTGCTGTTCCACATGCTGCTGCAGCGCGATTTTGTTTTAGTGGCTGCAATGCCCGAGGCCCGAGGCCGCGCCCGCCCGCACGTCTTTGCCATAGGGTGATTCCACGCCAACTGAGTCAGTCACAAAACGGCATGGTCTCGGATCGGGACGAAACTTACGCAAATCGTAGGTCTAGTAGTGGGATGACTAAATCCAAAAGCGTTTGGCCGAAAAATATCTAGAAGCCGAGATATTGAGAGGTTAAATATGGTGCCGGGACAGCGACACGGAGACAGTTTTTCGCTCGTAGTTTCGGTAATATCCATCGGATCGAGAAACCAAGCATACCGTTGGAAAGAGGAGAAAATTTCACAAAAAGTACTTCCTTTACTTTCTTTTAAAAAGTAAAAATAGTGTTTGATACCAAATAACCTTACCTTTCATTTATCGTAGAAAGTTAGTTGCACCACCAAATTTGCTGGGAAACGTCTTAAAAAATTCCCCGTGAAACAAAGATAAGGAAAAGATCAACCACAAAAAGTACTATCTCTCGTTCCCGAGATATCTGCATTTAACTATCTTGAAGTAGCGTTGCGAGTTCAAGCTCGCGCGGCGGACGAGGTATGAGAAATCCTGCGGCGCGCGCATCACTAGGCACGTCGCTAGGTGACCCGAATTAGAGCAAAACGTAGATTTCGAGCCACAATACTGACAAAGTGACGTACGAAACGTGCAAGGAAGAGTGTGTGAGGCGGACATAGCTGTGGATGCGGTCAAAATCACAAATGCAATGGTAGTAAACAACTCAGTGTGCCGCAGGATTTCTCATACCTCGTCCGCCGCGCGTGCTTGAACTCGCAACGCTTCTTCAAGATAGTTAAATGCAGATATCTCGGGAACGAGAAATAGTACTTTTTGTGGTTGATCTTTTCCTTATCTTTGTTTCACGGGGAATTTTTTAAGACGTTTCCCAGCAAATTTGGTGGTGCAACTAACTTTCTACGATAAATGAAAGGTAAGGTTATTTGGTATCAAACACTATTTTTACTTTTTAAAAGAAAGTAAAGGAAGTACTTTTTGTGAAATTTTCTCCTCTTTCCAACGGTATGCTTGGTTTCTCGATCCGATGGATATTACCGAAACTACGAGCGAAAAACTGTCTCCGTGTCGCTGTCCCGGCACCATATTTAACCTCTCAATATCTCGGCTTCTAGATATTTTTCGGCCAAACGCTTTTGGATTTAGTCATCCCACTACTAGACCTACGATTTGCGTAAGTTTCGTCCCGATCCGAGACCATGCCGTTTTGTGACTGACTCAGTTGGCGTGGAATCACCCATAAGCCCCTCGGCGGAGTGTCGCAGTACAGCAGAGTCGCTGGGCCGTGTTCGTGACAGCGCGCAGTCACTCGGGACCGCTCGGGACACACACCACACACACACACACACACACACACACACACACACGCACGCACACACACACACAAACACACACACAGCGGCGGCTGGGCATAGGCCGGGCAGTGCGTTACTATGCAGATGTGGCGCGAAGAAACTTTTCGAGTCCATGCGAGTCGGGCGGGAGGCCGGATTGCGGCAGGGCCCCGGCCCAGGGCCCCGCAGTGCTGCGGCCGCCGCGGCGAGGCACCAAAGCGCGAAGGGCCGCCCGAATTGTGTCGCCGATCCAGCGATACCGATCGGCAGACGCGGGGGAAAAAGTGGGGCAGCCTGGGGGTGTGAAAGGGTGCGCGAATTCGCTCGGTGGCGGGGCGGGGCGGGGCGCAGACCGGGGCCCGGCCGCGCCGACCGGAAGTTCTTGAGCGTGTTGTTCGGCGCCTGCAGCGGAAATTTAACGGAAGAGCTCTTTAGCGAGCGGGAGGGTGGCCGGCGTGGTGGGCGCGGCCAGGCCCGGCCCGCCGTACTGCCCGACCGGGGTGCGTCTGAAAGGGTTAGCGCGATGGTGCCGAGATTCGCGGCGTCATCACTCTTGCCTGCCTTCGGCTTCGGCCCGCCTGGCTAATAGGCGCGGCGACACGCCAAAAAAAGAAAAAAAATTTCAATGCTAATCGCATTGAGTCGAAACGGTAACAAATGTGTAGAAATCGTGGTTCGGCCTGACTTTAGGCAGCCACTGCGTCTAATCTAAGGTGGCTAATCGTTCTCCCTCAACGGGTGGATACTCTTCGGTCAAAAGGGGTTCTTGGAAACCCCTAAAAAAAGTTTGAAACTCGTACTTTCGCGTACATTTGCACATCCCCGCCGGCGGGGTTGCCTGCACTGTCGCAAGCGCGGCGGGCAGCCGAGCTGGCAGGCCGCTACTACTCGATGCGTGTCAATGGAGCCCATTACCGACTGCCCGCGGGTACCGCCGGGTACAGCCTCAACAGCGCTCTGTCTCTCTCGCACCCCGACGGGCCGCCCCGTGAGTGCGAGAGAGACAGCGCCGTGTTCGGAACGAGCCGCCGCTGCTCGGAGCGGCCAATAAAATGGCGAGGGGCGCGGCGCTGTGTCGCGAGCGTCGCGAGGCACCACCTGGAGTGGCTCTACTCGGCCAGTGCCTCGGCCGCCTCGGCCGGCGAGTACCTCGGGTAGTACCGGGAATTGAGACCTGCGATGATATCTTGTTTCGCTCGTGGCCGCACACTGCAAGCGCTGCAAGCGGCGGTACCGCTCCGTGTG